GGGGGGGCCCTACGTCACAAGGCAGTGCCCTACGTCACAAGGCAGTGCCCTACGTCACAAGGCAGTGCCCTACGTCACAAGGCAGTGCCCTACGTCACAAGGCAGTGCCCTATGTCGCAAGGCAGTGCCCTAAGTATCTAGGTCATAGTGTCCTCCACAATGAAACTCATTGAAACAACTAGCTTTTTTAGAGTACAAGCTAACAGACAAGTCAACTCAACAGATAAATTGTATGTCACCTGAATGGCGGCCTCCCGCTTGGCAAGCCCAGCCTTAAGCTTGAGGCGGTCGCTCTCCAGTTTCTGCACTCGAGCCTCCGCCTCAGGGCGCACCGAGTCGCTCGCCTCAGCCATCTGTCAAGTCAACATGCGGCGTCAAATGCATGCTTTGCTCACAAAGAAGCCTTTGTAAAATTTACAGATATACAGATGACGAGGAAGCCTTTGAAAAATTTAGATATTTACAGATGATAAATATATTTAAGAATATCAATGATCAAAGGGACATGCAAAAGAAGTGCACCTGGAGCTGCAGCTGGTGCAGCTGCTTCTTCTTGTCGTGCAACTCTGAACGAAGTCTTGTCAGCTCCTCAGACACGCTGCTGTCGCTCGTATCAAGGCACCTGCATGTAGGTTCATGCAATTACACATAAATAATAAATTTCAGCTCACAATTTTGAGGTAGCATAACATAGGTGAAAGCAAGCAAAGCTGTGATTAAAGACACATAATAGATCAGCCTGATTAGAGCACATAGACTTAGAGACAACACTTCATCGTGACAATAGATTACAATTGCTCAGGAGGCATCCAACATAGCAGACAAGCAAGACAATGTAGTGAATGATATAAGACCTGGCAGGCTCTTCAGCAACAGGAGGAGGCCGCACGAAGGTGAAGCCAACGAAGGGCACGCGGTGGGGCAGGGTTGGTGCTTTGGAGGACGATACGTCCATGGAGTGCTGCCCTCTGCCAGACATCGCTGCCTCCTCACCAAAGCTATCGAAGTTACTCGAGTCATCAGGGCCGCTCACGGACGGGATGAATGGAGGAACCACTGCAAACAATACAATGCTTGGCAATTAACACTTTGTTAACATTATACAAAGGACATAATTGATAACGAGTGTAAAAAGAAAATACAGTCTGGTTCTACTGATGGGACCACATCAAGACGCAATTGTTTAGGTCATATAGTCGAACATTTAATAACTGAGAAGGTTCTAGTCCTGTAGAGTTTGATCAAAATACGCAAGAGGTTTGCTTCACCGGAATGGACTGCATAAGGAAGACTCAAATTCAATGGAAACATTTCAGTTTCTGTGCTGCATAAGAAAGATAACTGCGTACAACAGCCACTTGCATTGGCAAAGGGCGTATAAAAAGGCAGTGAATAAAGCATTAAGGGCTTATTGTGAGAACTATACACCACATAAAACATATTGTTAGGAAGACGTTAAGTTATAGAATAAAATCAGAAATCTAGAAAGAGGGGCCAGTTACTGAGGTGCAAAAGAGGGGCCAGTTACTGAGGTGCAACAAGAGGGACCAGTTAGTGAGGTGCTACAAGAGGGGCCAGTTACTGAGGTGCTACAAGAGGGGCTAGTTACTAAGGTGCTACAAGAGGGGCCAGTTACTGAGGTGCAACAAGAGGGGCCAGTTACTGAGGTGCAACAAGAGGGGCCAGTTACTGAGGTGCTACAAGAGGGACCAGTTACTGAGGTGCTACAAGAGGGGCCAGTTACTGAGGTGCAACAAGAGGGGCCAGTTACTGAGGTGCAGGGCCTGGAAGTTGCAGTGCAGGAAGAAGGGATGGCGCGTGATGCCGCGGTAGTCGAGGCGCTGCGCCGCGTCGCACACGAGCGCCCGCACCATACTGACGGCGACGTCGCTCACCGCGGGGGGAGAGGGGAACCGCAGCGAGCTCTGTGGAGATGGAGGAGTGTCAGAGGAGCTGAGCAACCAAAAGGATGATGAAAAAAATGACATTGGAGTCGTTAGGACCTGATGCTGCATGATGTTGGGGTAGGAGCCTACATAGTGACCTGGTGCTGCATGATGTTGGGGTAGGAGCCTACATAGTGACCTGGTGCTGCATGATGATGGAGTAGGAGCCTACATAGTGACNTTGGCATGTCTACCCCATGGCAGCCAAATACCCCACCACTGCCCTATACCTCACATTTGGCATGTCTACCCCATGGCAGCCAAATACCCCACCACTGCCCTATACCGCACACTTGGCATGTCTACCCCATGACAGCCAAATACCCCACCACTGCCCTATACCTCACATTTGGCATGTCTACACCACGGCTGCCATATACCCTCCCTCAACCACATACCCCATAGCTGGCAGAGGAGTTGACATCTGCCAGGACTTCAGGTGCCAGGTAGTCAGGAGTGCCAGCAGGCAGGCTGGCCGTCACAGAGCCGTCCTGGCTCAGCCGACATGAGGACCCAAAGTCTGCTAGTTTGATGTGCCCACAGCGGTCCAGCAGCAGGTTCTCTGGCTTTACATCCCTGCAGCAGATAGTGAGGCACTGCAGTTGATCTATTAACTATCATACAATATTATTATGATTTTATTATACTATTTTTATTAATGCATCAACAGGGGTGAACATTATTATTATCTATAATATTATTTATTAATGCATAACATCACCATTACTGACTTTGGCCAGTACAAATGAGCTTCCACACCAACTTGTAGTTCTACTTCTCCACTGCTGCTGTACTTAGCAAGCCTTCATCTCATCATAGATTAAAAGCGCTCAGTCATGAGCTCCTGAGAATATGTATGATCAACAATAATCATGTGCATGGAGCACACACCACTAATATCAAATAGCTCATTGAAAATAGTACAGTTGTACAAGTGTATACATGTGAGAATGTTTGTTGCTAAGAGGTGTGGGTAAAGAATGTGTAGGTAAAGAATGAGTAGAGCGAACAGTGTGTAGGGTGAACAGTGTGAATTGTGTCAAGTATGAATAACTAATTAATATGATTATTAGGTTACAATGCACAAGCCAAGTACTAACCGGTGAACATAGCCCATGTTGTGGAGGTGGTGGAGCGCAGTGGTGGTCTGGGCGAGGTAGAACACTACCCAGTCCTCGGGCAGGCAACGGGTGCCGTGGTTGTTGTGGTGGCGCTCCATCAGAGAGAGCAGGTCACCACCAGGGTGGTACTCCATCACCAGGTGCAGATGTCGCGCATCCTGGTGGCAACCAAGTAAACCAGTCACCTCTGTCCTCAGTGGTGCACACAACCCCTGCCCTCAGTGGTGCACACAACCTCTGCCCTCAGTGGTGCACACAACCTCCATGCCCCAGCACCACATCACCCATGCCCCAGCACCACATCACCCATGCCCCAGCACCACATCACCCATGCCCAGCACCACATCACCCATGCCCCAGCACCACATCACCCATGCCCCAGCACCACATCACCCATGCCCCTGCTGCCACACACCTGGAAGGCGTACTGCAGTTTGGTGATCCAGGGGGACGTTGCTTTGGCCATGATGTCTCGCTCCTCCTCAAAGAAGGCAACCTACACACACATTAAATTGAGTGTAAATTATCACAGTATCATTCAGATAATAATTCAATAGGTATCATGAGATTTTTCAGTAGAATTTTTTTTCAATAAAATATTGAGCAAGGAGTAGTCTATTCTAAGTACAACTTTGACAGCAAATTGTAAGGAGAAAATTCATGAGGTGATACTGTGAAGTACATTAGAAGATTTAAAAACTTCCTTTGCAAGAATAACAGAATTTTTACACAGTGATGCATGATTGTCATTTGAATAGAGATAATCATAGACAAACTGTTATAACATCAGTCTGGACCTCAATATTGAAACTATGACATATCGCTTGGAATACCATCCATATTTCCATAATTCTTGAAATATCTTAAAATTCCAAGGAAAAGGAACTTTTTAAATCTAAAATATTTAAATAAGCCATATTGTGTGTGACTCTGAGCATTGCAAGCAAGCATAAGCTGATCAAATTTTATAAGCAAGTCGTCAAACATATTTGTGTTATAATCTCAAGATTCTATAAATAAATTCCATTTCAATCTGAATGAATAAATCCCAAGACAGCTTAGCATCTGCTGCAAATGTAACTTTAAGACTTGCATGTTTCAGCTGTAGAGTCTCATCTTTCTTCAAAGTCTTCAGAGCATAGACATTGCCAGAGGAGATTTCCTTGATTAGCTGCACCACACCGAAGTGTCCGCGACCGATCACACGCACGCACTCAAAGTCAGCAAGACTTATTCGCAGCTTGGACAGGTGAGCAGCATAAGGTTGGTCTGAGTGCGGAGAAGATCATTTGATTAAATATTGCTACTACAATGGCAAAATATTGCTAATGCATGATCAATTGAACACAGGAGACTATGTAGTGTAAAGAAGGATGTTATTGACCATTTGTTGTGTAAGACATCTTGACAAAAGGGTAAATGCTACATGGAATCTAACTAGTACAGCTGTCAAGGGATAATACATTGCTGTGTATCTGCAACAAAAAGTCCCCCCAAAAAAATTCTCAAAATACTCTAATAGCAGCCGTATGGCCAAACAATAACAAAAAATACTTCATGGAATTGCCAAGTTTTCATTCATGGTCCTGGCAAATGCACCTATAGGAATTTCTGCAGTTTCTTACAAAACTGTAATAATTACTCAATTTTCTTACTACATAGTATTGACTTTTTTGGCCAAACATTCAGTTAGGATGCTATCTTCACTATCAAATACAATCTTATCCTCAAGGAAAAAAAGTAAGATATACAGTCATTGTGCTCACATTTCTTAACAAAGTTCTGCACAAGTGGGTCCTTCTTGTACTTGTCATTAGTGCAGCATTCATCATACAGAGTCAGAAAGGCGTCCAGCAGCCCATCCTTGCACATGTACGAGGCTGACACATTATTCAACCCCATCTTCTTAGAGCCATTCTTTGTATCTTTGACAGTTTCAGGCTGCGATGGAGGAGGCATCAGTGAGCGTCTCTTTGTAGACTGTGAAGACAGACTGGCCAGCGTGTCATTGCCTTCACTGTTTTTGTCTTCATCTTCACTGGCTATGGCAGCCTCAGCAGACTCATAGAGGGACTCGTCTAGAGCAATGTTGAGGTCAATGCCTGAACTGTTGATGAGCAGACTGAGGTGGTTGAGGCGGTGCACAATCGACTCTGAGTGAGCAGCTCCACAAGACAAATCACTGCGACGGTTGGTTGTGATGGTGGCTTTACTAAATATGGGAGAAGAATCGCCCTCCCTGCCATTTCCCGGATCCATGGCTTTACTGAACAGGGGAGAAGAATCTTCCCCCTTGCTATTTCCTGGCTCCATGGCGCCACAAGCAACTTAGGCTGCAGCAAATTCAGCAGTAAGAGAAAACACCAAAGCTCTACAAAATGAAATCATGCATGTTGGTCTGAAAGAAAATTATGAGACAAATAGAAACAGGGACAATAGACTCCTGCGTCTCGAAATAATTTTCTCGAAATGAACCGGGACAGACGAAACGAGACGAGAAAATTCCGGGAAAAAAATAACGGGACAGAGGGTAAAATTTGTCCCGGAATAAACGTATGAACCGAGACATGACTTCTGTCCCGGACTTTAAAACTTGTGTCCCGGTAAATTATGAACCGGGACGAGACAGACAGATTTGAAACGAGACATAACGAGACGAGACGAGATTATTATTAATTTAAGACTTGTCTGTCTTAATTATTTAAGACAAAACAAGTTTTTCGATTACGATACAAAATTTTTTACGAATCATTTCGAAAATATGGGTTGAAGAATGACAAGTTAGCCCTTTATTGCTAATAACCCCTAGACAGTTACCAGTTAAATTGAGTTAATTGCAGATTTAGCAAAATTTGTGTGACTAACTGACATGGCAGTTAATTAATGGTCCGACAAACACCGCAAACCTGTCTATGTATGCATGGCTGAGTATTGAGTAAAAAATGTTACTCTTGAGTCTTAACTAAGGCTTCGATGGCACTTATGGGAACCGTACGAGAACGAGTCGAGTTTATTACGCGTTCGGAACGAGTTCAGGCCCCATGGAGCACATAGGGAGTGGGGACGCAGTGTCTAGATTAGTCGGCCAATTAGCAGACAGTTGAGTGGAGTCCTGGTAAGACATTCCTAATAATACTTAAGCTAGTTTTAGACTATCTCTGCCTTTAGTAAAATTTTGCGCTACGCCTCCAGGAAATCTTCACAATTGCGCAGTTTCCTGAATTGTTATCAAACACTTAGGCATGTTTAACATTATTTAGAAAGGATACACATAGATATTTCGAGTTCTTTTTTGAAGATCGAACTATTATATTTTTTCCAACTTAAATTTTGTTGTATTTTAAAATGTTCTTATTTCTTTCCAAACTTTTTGTTGAAGGAGGTTGCTTAAGGCAAGATCGATGAACCTGATTCTGTGATTGAGCTGGAGGCAAATCAAAGTCTGTCCAGTCAGCCGATGTCACCAGCTACAGCTAGTATGGCCTCCTCCAAGCCATCATAGAACACGATTTTTGAAAAAAACGTGTTTTTCCATTTTTATTTGCCTATCAAGATTAAGTACCATATTAAACCACAATATCTATTCGTAGCAAAAATCATTTAAATTGCCGAGCTCCGATAAGAATAGTAATAGGATACGTCTCAAGTTATTATATAAATGCAGAGGTTGGCAGTAGCGCGCTACATTTAGCGGTAGCGGCGCCACATTTAAGCAATTGTAGCCGTAGCGGTAGCGCCCGCTACATATTAAAGTAGCGATACGAGGTTTTGCCACTACAGCGCTATCGCTACATTTATAAATAAAGCCTTTAGATTTTACCTAATAGTATTAAATATTATTTAAAAACCAGCATGATACATACATAATATAAATTACAGAATAAAACTGTACGAAAGATTTCGGTGTATGTAATGTTGTCAACCTCAGCCTGTTACTAGTGTCAACATGTTAGTTGTTACCAGAGGTGGCCGGGCAGTAGCGCGCTCCATGTAGCGGTAGCGGCGCTACATTTAAGCAATTGTAGCAGTAGCTGTAGCGCCCGCTACATTTAGAGCATGTAGCGGAAGCGGTCGCTACATTTCAAAGTAGCGCTGCCCAGCTCTGTATAAATGTATGATGGTAAGCCAATGTTTACACCACATCAATTATTGATTCGTCTTGTTAAATAGCTATAAATTCCGGGAAATTTTAAGGTACCTATTTTAACCGGGATGTCCCGTCTCGTCTCGGTATCGTCCCGGAATTCCTACGGAGGGCTGAAAATTGTCCCGGTTTTTATTGCGAACCGGGACAGAGCCTGTTGTCTCGTCTCGTCTCGGATTAAAAAAAATACCAAACGCAGGAGTCTAAGGGACAATAAAAATACTTTTGTTATTACTATATTGCCAATAAATTACAGAAAAAATAAATTAGATAGTATCATTGATAAATCTAGTGTCCAGGTTAAGTTTCACTTTGAACACAACATAGTTGACATACCGTCTACCGGGGCTACTCGGGACGGGCGGGGTAACTTGGGACAGTCCTCCGACACTGCATAAAACTGTTTTAGCAGCAAAACTAATTGGAATATTGCAAAACTAAATATACCATCAACCAGGGCTACTCGGGACTGTCCTCCGACACGGCGTAAAACTGTTATAGTAGCAAAACTAATTGGAATATTGCAAAACTAAATATAGTGGCGTAAACGTCAACATTTTTCCTATCTACGTAGTATAAAGGAAGTCAAAAAATACTACATTTACTAGCTTTGAAAAATTCCTGAAAAAAATGGTGAAAAACGCTATTTTGAAAAGTTAGTTCCGCTAAGGTCTGTAAGCAAAAAAATATTTGCCGTATTAAAAAATTTTACTTACATAAAAGTTGCACCCAGGTGTTGGCTTGAAAATGTAATTGATGGAATTGTCCTAACTCATTCAAAAAAAAAAAATGGCGGCCATTTCCGCGCGGTGGGGCTACTTGGGACACCCCCCTGGGGCTATTTGGGACACCCCCAAAAACGCATTTACGGTAGAACCTCAGTTAGCAAAGGCTCCAGTTATGAAAAAAATTAATTAAAAACAAAGAATATTGATTACATTTACCTCGCTCAGCAAAAAAAATTTCACTCGTCACTAAAACATTCCTTTCTGTTTCAGGTACTGTAAAATGAGGTAACTTAGACCGGCGGGGTAACTTAGACCACTTTTCGTTTTTTTAACAAAAACCCCCAAAACTCAAAAACTATTTGACTTAGAACATTTTTGTCAATGGGCATTAAAGGCCTAATACTCAGGCTACATAACACAATAGAAAGATTTAAAAAGTTTGCATATCTAATAGGTAAAAAAATTTAAAATGTGACCCACAAAAAAAGCTATTACGGTATTTAAAGCCTGTCCGAGTACCCCCTCCAATTTTTTTAATTTTTTGTTAAATAACTCCAGGTTCTGATGCATTGTAGTAGAACTCTTCTAGTTACATATGCAAATGACAAATTTTAGGAAAGTGTCATAGTTTGCAAATGGGGGGCACCGCCCCCAAATGGGGGAACTTAGACCACCTAATGTCAACCCTGACGGGGTAACATAGACCGGCTTGGAAGTTAATATAAAACTACCATATATAACGTATTTTATGTTTGACAGCCTATTTAGGTTTTTTCTTTATGTTTCAGATTCTACAGTCTTATATATGGTAATTTCAACTTAATTTCCTAGCCAGTCAATATTTACCCTGTCAGGGCTGCCATTAGGTAGTCACATTACCCCATTTTTTGCATGTTTCAATTCAAGTTTAATTTAGCTAGTAAAAAAATGGCATCATTTATTTAAAAAAAAGTGGTCTAAGTTATCCCATTTTACGGTATCTTTTTCACCATCTTTTTTATAGTAAATTCACTTAACCCAATTAAAATAGTGTGAAATTACAAGCTGTGCTGTAAGCTTACAGATACAGAAAAAATGCTATAGGGCTGCTGATATGAAGCTTGCAGTGGACAAGGTTGTTGTAAATGCTCAATGGCATGTTCATGGATACGGTAATATTGCTTCAATAATACGGTAATATTGCATCAATAATACGGTAATTAATGCATATGGTAATATATCAATAAGGGAAAACAAGTAAAAATCACAGAAAATGTCATTTATTCTACCTCTACGTCATCTACATTCTACAATGAAAGAGGACTTCAGAGTACTGTTAGTAATGGATGAGTACACTCTGCATGCTTCAAATGTTTTAAAATGAAGTTTTATTCCAAGTGTCCTGAGTAGCCCCGTTTGACGGGGCTACTCGGGACGCTCTTTTTTCTTGCTTCTGGCACCTTCAGAATAGCATATGGAATTTTTTTAGAAGCCATGTGATAGCCCTTGCAAAGAGCTTTGAAATGAGCTTAAACTTGTTTATGAAATGATTCATCGTAAGAAGTTACGAATGAAAAATGTTCAAAATTGTCCCGAGTAGCCCAGTTGACAGTTCAACATAATAGGACAAAAAATGAAAAAATTCAAATCTGGAAAATATCAATGGGTTTTTATAATTTAAAACAACTTTCCATCATTTAAATCTCAGTATGGAATGTGGATCAAATATATTTATTGTGAAATCAAACTAGACAGAACCAAAACCAAAGTGTGTGACACCGCCTTGTAAAATGTAATTGTAGAAGCACGATGTGAAAGTACGCCTTGACAAAGTTGCAGTTTATCTCATAATTTTGTGTGGTATCAAAAACTTTGTTGGTTTTGGCAAAATCATGAGAATTTTTTGTGAATGTTGATATGATTTTTTCATATTTTAGAACATATTCACTGCAAAATTTTTTTGACTAGAGATAAGTATAAGTAACTAGTGAATATAATCGCCTACTCGGTATTGGATTCCGAACCAAGGCCCACGCGCGAGAGAGGACACATCCATGGCAGTGGCAGTTTCTTTTTAACTCAGTGTCTCACTGGTCACCACAGTGGAAGGTGTTACATGGTAAGCTTTTCAAGCCATTTTTTATATTCATGTGAGAATATATTACCTATCCAGAATTCCACACTGTTGCTGGCCATTTTCAAGATCCGTCGCTGGGTAATTTTTAATAAGAAAGTGCTGCAAGCAACTCAAGATAGTATATCCTTTACTATCCATGCACCGCAACACAAACACAATGCAACTGATTTCCAGACAAGCTTCACTGCATCCTGATCCTTCTGGCATACCAGAAACCTTACTGTGTGCTCTTGCTGTCTTTGAGATTTCCAGTAATTTCAAAGTTATTTCTCATATGCAATAATTTCAATCCAAATGTGTTGACATTGGCAAGATCTTCAGAAGGAGTAAATTTTGCTGCCAATGCATAGCCAAAGATCTTGCGATATTCACCCACTTTTTGCACAGTGGTTGTTATCCTATTCAAATGT